CCTTACCAAACATGATATCCTTCTCCAGTGACTGGTCCCTTCTGACAATATGTCCAAAGTATGAGAGACGAAGTTTGGCCATCCTGGCCTCCAAGGAGCACTCTGGCTGCAATTCTTCCAACACAGATCTGTTGGTTCTTTTGTGTTTCTATTAGGCTTTAGGCACTGACCCATTTGTATGGGCCTCACAATCCATAGACCACCCTGAACTCAGACACCAATTCCAGGTTCAAGAATTCCCAAGACCATCTTTAGAGTTGGTAATTCACTAGGCCTCACAGACTCAGCGCAGTGTGTGCTCATCACTCTGGTTTATTACAGTGGAAGGATACAGATTTTAAAAGGTGCGCAGGACGAATCCTGGAACGTTCCACACGTGCTTCCACTGTCCTCCCTCCATGGACTCCTGGACTCTGCTAACTTTCCTATCTATGACAAATTGCCCCAAGAAATGTCACCTGAGCCTTGGTGGTCAGAGTTTTATCAGGGCTTGGTTATGTAGCTATTTAGCTGGACATAGTTTCAAGCCCCACTAGTGACTGAGGTGATACTACGTGACCCAAGTCCCCACCACAAATCACATTGTGAGATTATCTGGGTGGCCCAAAGCCCCGGGGTAAACAAACACACCCTTATCAAGCATGACTGTCCATGGGGGACCTAGAAGCTCAGGGCAGGGCCAGATCCCTTTCTCAGCAAGGTTAAGTAAGTCCTTTATATCTTTACTAATACAACATAAGGATACAAGGGGGCTTCAAAAAGTTTGTGGGAAAATTCCATTATCTTTCAATTTCATGTTTTCCACAAACCTTTTGAAGCCTGTTTGTACATGTATGAAGATTTCTAGCAGGTGAATGCACACAACATGGCACAGATTTTAAATGTCCTACACATTCTCACAATTTCTCCTGTGTCTGTCTTAGTCTGGAAGCTCAGCTGAAAACCTGTCCACCATGGCTGTACCCTGCTGGTATTTCAAATACCGGTGTCAGAGTTTCCAGCATCACAGCAACACACAAGTCACCACAGTATGACAACATGACAGATGAGTGGTAGACTTCTTAATGGTTAGCCACCAAAAACCTTATGAATAACAGTGGAACACTGACAGATAGCACCAGAATATTGACTATGGAACATGATGAAAAGCGCCAGAATATTGTCAGATACAATACCTACCGGAAGATAAGTCCCTCCCATTGGAAGGCACTCAAAACATGACTGGGGAAGAGCTGCCTCCTCAAAGTAGAGTTGATCGTGATGACGCAAATGGAGTAAAACCTTCAGGGACCTTCATTTGCTGATGGGGGGTACAACTCAAAATGAAGAGAAACAGCTGCAAACATCCATCAATAATTAGAACATGGAATGTATGAAGTATGAATCTAGGAAAATTGGAAGTTGTCAAAAATGAAATGCAACTCAGAAAGCTCAATGTGTAAGGCAGTAGTGAGCTGAAATGGACTGGTATTGGCCATTTTGAATCTGATAATTAAATGGTTTGCTATGCACGAAATGACACGTTGGAAAGGAATGACATCACATTCATCATCAAAATAACAGTTCGAAGTCTTCTTGAAGTATAATGTGATAGGATAATATACATATACCTAAGTGTTTCATTCTGCTGTTTATAAGGTCACTGTGGGCCAGTACCAACTCGATGGCACCTAACAACAACAAACAAAAGGAAAACCAGTTAATACCACTATTATTCAAAATTTTACACCAACCACTAAAGCCAGTGTGGTG